AAAAAGAAGTCAACACCAGTCGGCTCTGGATGCAGCGAATGTGCAGCTGCTGCCGCGCCTCTCGTGCAACTCTAGTCGCGCGCCTCGGATGCAGTCAAAAGGCATCAGCTGAAATTCCCCCTGTTCGCAGAGCCAAATGGGACCAAGACAGCGCAATGGGTATGACAAGCAGCTATGCCAACATGGCCCGTGCATCCCAGCGCCGACATAAACCCCTGGTGCAAGTTCAACATGAGCACAACTACGATCAACTAAGGTGATGCTGGCCATGCTGTGTTTCAGAGAGTTGGACACTACTCACAAACCACGCAAGAGTTTCAGGAAAGGTGCGAGACAGTTTATGATTTATATTCCACAATTGCACAAAGAAACATGTCGCTGCATGCTGCGCAACCAACTATGACATCCATGCTGCCTGCTTATGATTCACTCCTTCTGGTCTCGCAAATGAAGGCAAAACAGATCAAGGCTGGTTCCCTCAGATTTGGGCAGCCAAGGTGCCGGAAACGCGTGCAATTTTCTGCTTGGTCTTGCCACCCCTACCGAGGATAAAGGCCTCAGCGCAGCAACGAATGGAATGTAACAAGCTGATAACAAGCTGAAAGGATTGAAGCAAGGAAAGGTGAATACCTCAAGATTGACACATGCAGCATGAGCAAAAAAACGGATATGTGTTTGGGGCTCATCGCATGAGGACGCGGCAGTGTCAGCATCATCAAATTGCATGCGCAACCGTTGCTGGGGCGTGTCAAGGCGCGCATTCTTGGCATCCTGGGCGTTGAGCTTTTTCACACTGAAGTTTCACGTAATTCAAGTGAGCGAATTGTCAATTTCAAACTCAGGCGGCAGCTTTTTTTGCTCTACCCCCTTTCGTATGCTCCTCCCGCTCAGACGTCAAAGCACATGAGCAAGCGCAGAGCTTGAACAACTTTGGGGTGGTCAATCTTGTGGCCCCCAAAAACCCACATCTAAACCCAAGGGGACATCCCATGGTCAACGCCCTGTGCAAGACATAGCCCCTTTTTAGAAACCCACTCTAGATTTCAGGGTGTGGGAGGCTGGTTGGCGCGGGGCTGAAATCTTGGACCGATAGAACATGCTCCAACAGACCCACGAAAAACATTTCAGTAGGGCCGACACCTCGTTTGATCTTCTCGACTATAGTCCCCTATAAGACTCCCTTATATACCCCTAACCCCTAAACCCTAAAACCCTTAAACTCTTAAACCCTAAACCCTACTAAAACCCTCTATATCCCCTAAAATCCCCAAAAAGAAATCCAGAATCGCTCCTGGGCCTCACCGTTCTCCTGTGCCTGGCCGGCTTTGACCCACTGGAGCCGGGGCTCCTCCCACCTGAAGCCGGTTTGGGCAAGTTTAGGTAATAGCAATAATAATAGTAATAATAATACTAGTAATAATAATAATAGCAATAATACTAATAATAATAGTAATAATAGCAAAAAAATAGTAAGCATAATAGTACTCGCAGTGATTATACTAATAATGGTACTCATAGGGATTTGGGATTCCGGATGTCTACTTTTTTTGGGCTTCCCATTATAAGGCCTACAGAGATGCCTACAGTGTTTGGGGCCCATACAGGGTTCCACTATTTTCGGCAACCCTCATTTAGGTTCGGAACCAGGGATCGAGAGATCGGGGTTCAGGGTCTGGGATTTGAGCTCGAGGCTTACCTTTGGATTCGATGTCCCTGTATGGAAATGGAAACTACTGTAGTATGTTATACTTATAGGAATTATATATAGTGGTTATGTAAGGATAATGGAAAATGGCAACTACTATGTTATAATAGTGTCAACCTTGTTTGACAGATGAATACTTCGTTCAGTGGTCATAGAAATCTCAAACATGATGGTCGCAGTTTGGCTTTGTCATTTAATCTGCCCTTCTTCTAAGATCCGAATATGATAAACCCTAGATGATTCCTGTACTCGCATATGACCTATAAACCTCGTATGCAACCGCTCAACTCTAAAAAGTAGTGCCCATTTAATTGTCCAGTTTCTTCTCCATTTGACTCTCCATTATTGGAGTTAAATCGCCTGTATAACCCTTATATCCCCATAGTCCTCTACATCATCATCCCCATAATCCCTATACATACCCTATGCAATCCTATGTACCCTATAGTCCCCCATAGTATCCTCTACAGAGTCCTCTATCCCTAAACCCTGAATACTAAACCGCATGGGCCCCAAGCCCCAAACCCCGAATCCTAAATCCCAAGCCCTAAATCCTAAACCCTAAGCCCTAAATCTTGCCAGGTCGAGTTTTTTGTCTTGGTGCCTGTCATCCCAGGCTGAGCCGCCGTAACCGCCATATCCTGGCATTGAATTATAGGATCCTCCGGGTTTTACAGGGGTTACATCAGTAGTGGTTTTTTTGGTAGTTAAACCCAGCAAGATAATATTCCTTATATAAAATACTATGCCCCAAAAGGAGGATAGAATCTTGCTCTATAATGGGTACCATAGTATCCCCAAATAAAATACTGCTCAGACATGGGTTCTGTAGACCATGTACGAGACATTGGATGTAAGAGCATAATGTGCCTAGTTGGTCAGGCTGTGGTTCTGTGGGGCTTACATGGGGTTCTATACGGGTTACATGGGTTCATGGTTTCGGGAAGGATACACAACCCCCAAAGTAGGATTGGGTTCTACAGGGTTTAGGGTATATGGATTCTAGGGGGATATTACCCCAGTCAGAGAGAAGTAAAATGGAAAAGAACATGAAAGTTTCATGGCAACTACTACACATGACAGAGGGTTACGCGGAAGGTAAAGTAGGGGCCTAGGTAATTACCAATAGCCTTTTGAGGTCCATTTGCGGTGCCCTATACCACAATTCCACAAGAAACCCAGGACCAAAATATTTGTAATATTTCTAGGCTTCTACAATAAGGTTTGGGATTTAGAGTGTGGGGGTTTAGGGCTTTGGACCGAGGGTTTCCGGTTTGAAGATTTGGGGCTAGGGGCCAAGGGCCACCTTGTGGCAATACGCCGGGCTGACGTGGGGGCTTCTCAACAGCAATCCCAAGCCCTACACTGGAGTGCTTAGTCAACCTTAAACAGCGCCCTTTGCACGCCCCTCCTCCGCGGTCTCTTCGCCGGCCCATGACCCAATGCGCGAACCTCCTGCTGCCGAGGCTCGCGCTCATGCAGAGGTCCTTTGATAGAAGTTGCTTCTGCTGAGAGTGAAAAGCCGGAAACTTGGTTTTCCCGACGCACAATCTGACTTGGGCTCAGTGGTGGGTTTGTTGGGCTTGCATGTCATGCCCTCTAATAAGTCAACCTTGACATCAACGGCAACATCACAGGAGGCACGTGAACATGCAAAAGTTGAAGAGACCTACAACTCTTGGACACAACAGCCCAGCCTCCGAGTCACAAAGGTGCGGCTTTTGCCGCTCTAGTTCTTACTGCAGATCTTCCATGCATGCTACGCCAGGCATCATCAAAATCTGCATGATGAACACTTTTTCTGCTGTGCTTCATTGTCACGCTGTTGACGCAGATATGGGGCTCCCATGCGACTGGGCTCAGTAGACACAAAGCCAGTCTTGTTCAAACGTTTCGGGGCCTCTGCACTATGTCTGATAGAAACAGCTCCACCCATCTTAAACAGCTAGCGATTCTACATCTGCTTACGCTGATCACAAGAGTAGCTGCTGCCGCTTGCACTGAGAAGAGCTGTTTCGCGGCGCTCTACTGGTGCCGGTGCTACAGTCGCTAGAGTACACAAGCAGTTGCTCTGCCTGCAGACCCAGCCGGTCATTAACAGGCAATGTTGCCTGCCACTTTGGGCAATCTGCTGCATCATTGCATCCCTACTTGAGGATGGGAGGACTGAGTAAGTAGGTGTGATGCGGCTGCTTCGGGTTCTCGTCACGCTGCGAGGGCCATCTCGGGTGTAGGTATATCATACTTGCTGAGCCCCACAACCCTCCAAGTATCATGGACAAGCAGCAGCATCTCAAACTGCCTTTCCAAAATGGCCACAATTCTCTTCCAATCATACGACAACAATATTGGACAATATTAGTAACTTTTGTAGGCTCACGTGAATCGAAACGTTTGAGACGCCTGAGCATGCCGACTAGAAGAGGAGTGAGGATTCAAACGCCGCTCCAGCGAGTCTTTTCTTCAAAAGTCAGCACTCTCAAGATTCATGAAAAGCATGTAGCCGTTCGCATACCTCCTGGTTTGCCACAGCATCCAGCAGGAAACCTGTGCATTGGCGAGTGCACGCTTCCTAGCATCTATCACTCGGCTGGACTTAGGTATGAGGCCCCGGCATCCCCCTCTTCACTGGGATGGAGACAACTGCTACCATTACCACTACTAGTTCTAATGCTTACGTCCTGATATGAGCCATAATCTAAATTTCTAATATCACCTTTAGTAACCCTTATAATACTCCCCTATGTAGTCTCCCAAATAGCCCCCATTCAAAAAGTTTGGAGTATTGAGACATTCACATCAAGCAGGTATATATGTAGTTTCCCAACATAGGGGGACCCCAATATAGACGAATCCTTATCATGGGGACCCCCCCAAAAAGGTACCTAAGGCCCTCATTTTGGGAAACTACCATATTGACGGTCTGGAGACTACACAGCGGCTCTACCGGCCTGCGTGCGGCTGATCCTCGACCCAGTGCAACTCAAGCTTGCCGCATGCCTGCTGGTCTGTCCATGCCTTTACTACTCCCCCGCCCCCGGGCCAAGACTCCTCTCACGGCTAATACTACTATCTTAAACATACTTATTACCAGTAGTATGATGATTATACTACTATCTCTTCTTCTTCCTCTTGTACTACTCTTCCCATGTTTCCCGCATCCGTATTCCTCCTCCTCCTCCTCCTAAAACCCATGAAGCTCATGATGCTCAATATGCCTGAGCCAACGCTAGTCCTACTGTTTCCCAGTGCTCCCACTTTCTTTGGCTACATCCTGCTACTGCTTGACCCTGGCCTGGGATCTTTTCGGCTCCTCCAGCTTTGCCCTGGCCGGGTCCAGGGCAGACGGTCTGTTTTGCATGAGGTTTAGGGTATGTAGGCTGTAGAGTTGGGGCATCGATGAGGCTCAAGGTGCTTAAGGTATTTGGATCGAGGAATGCGACTGGTACTTAATGTACTTGCACATGTACGGTGATTCTTCATGGCGGCAGTAGGCGCCAAGCGCTATGCCACAACGTGCTAATCAAGATGCACACGGCAGGCTCCAGCCAGAACGAAGTCGTTTCTGGGTTGGATCCAAGGTGGGCTATAACATGACAGGATACGTAATGGGACACAGATCCCAGATGTAGAGAAATGGCCATGCGCGTCATCATTTGCCTGTTCGCAGAGTGAGAGGGGGGTGCCCTGTCCACCCACAAACTGACATGATCCCCACTAACTACAAAACCTTCAGCGTCACTACTTGTGAGAGCTAAACCCAGAGCCAGGAATTCTAAGAGGCCCTCAATATTAAACCAGAAGGAGGAGCCATCAGCCCTTAGCCTTAGCCTCAACCCGAAACCTGTACCTTTAACAATTGGGATTGTACAGGGGTTATATAGGGTATATATAGGGGTAATATAGGGATGATAATGGAAAAGAAGCTGGAAACTACTACAGCATGCTCCTAGGGCCCTTGTACAAGAGCATAACAAGGTACCAATACTATAATTCGAAAGAATGTTTTATAATTCACTGGGCCCCTACGTTGTATGATCCCTTTATATATACCCTCTAAAAATCCGCTTCCAGTTGATTTTCCATCTGAGCTATAGTCGAAACTCCTGGTATCCCCCTTAATAACCTTCATAATACTCCCCGATGTAACCACCCATTAAGGAGTTTAGAAGATGGCTCACTGTGACCCGTATAAAAAGCCACTTTCCATTTCATTTTCCATCTGATTCTTCTCTGCAAACCCCTAACATGATGCTGGAAATCAGCCTCCGCCGCTGCTCTGCCAGAACAAGGCTCCTGAGTGCAGGTCTTCGTGAGGGTTTAGGGTTATAGAATGTTTTAGAGCTAGGCGTTCAAAGAGATTTGTCCCTTGGGCTCGTGGATCGCTTTTTTTGGGCCTGGGAAGTAATGGACCCCGTTGGAACAGACACAAAATGATAGATTCCCAAAAAGAAGGGAACACCAAAATACTATAATCCTTATTATTGGGACCCCCAAAAAGGTACCCCTAATTTTGATAAACACCTATGTTGTCTTGTTGCAGCCTTCCAGTCGGCTTCGCGGATCTCCCAAAAAACGGATTGATTTTGAGGAGCTTAATTCAAGTCACACTTTGGGTATATAATAAGTAATAGGGTTTCCTTATTATAGTACACCTAAACCCTATATACCATTATGGTAATTTAATTGCTGTCCCGTAACAGCAGCCCGGAACAAGACCACCTCTCCTGACTGAGTAGGTGGGGACGACGAGATCTTCGGACTCCAGAACGATGAGAGCAGAGGTGCCTTCGTACTTGAAGGTCCCTAAACTCTAAACCTCTTTTCCCTAAACCCCTAACCCCTAACAATATAGGGCATTATAGGGATAATGGAAAAGAAAATGGAAACTACTATTTAGGATTTAGGATTATAGTCCCCCTTGTGTAGATAGAATATGGGGTATATGGGGATCTTATGATAATATAACCCAAGCCACATTCTGTCTACTTAAGGGTGACTATAAACCCCAAACATGGCTCCTTGGGAACCCGCAGCAGTCCAAAGGACCATGCAGCCCAAGCGAGTCGGATAGGTTTCGGGTTTAGGATTGAGGGTTTAGGGTTTATGAGTGAATTGTAAGCGCCATGCCATAAATCTGCCCACATCTGTGATAAGTATAAATGAGCTATAGTCTAAACTCCTACTATCCCCCCTAATAAGCCCTATAGTAGTCCCCTGTATAATCCCCTATATAATTCCCTTTAAGGAGTTTAGACTATAGCTCATATGAATAGGTACGACTATACGAAGTACAAGCCGACGTATAGCTACCCGTGAACCTTCGAGTATAGGGGGCCTTCAGAAGCTTTCAGGGCTTCTTAATGCTCCTTACACTGAAGCAAGAAGCTTCTTGTAGTGGCGGCCCTTCTTCAACAACCCAAACCGCGCTTATTGAACTTTCCTATACTTGTTGCGTTTAGGTCTGCCAAACTCAAAAAACACCAGCTTCCAGATTTCGGGTTAAGGCTGAAGAAGGCGCTGTGCCATTTGGGGCGGGTTCCCCGGTAAGATTCGGACCCAAGGATTCTGGGTCTGTGAGATCAACGTCTGTGGTGAGGCTACATAAGCTACAGAACTCCTAGCATCCTAAACCCTAACCCCCAAATACAATCCCCTACATAGCCCCTCTAAGGAGTTTAGACCTACGTGGCACTTAGGACCCCTACTAAGGGTTAACCCTTAGGTACCAATAGGACTATAAGGGAATCCCAAAGGGTTAAGGGTCTAAGGTTCAAGCTAAGTCCCAAGGAGAGACAATGGCTCACGTAAAGTGAGCTGTTTGTTTTCAGCCGAGGCAGACAGCCGCTCGGCCCCAGGAGACTACAAACTGGGCTTGAATTCTTTCGGAAATATGGGGTTTCCCTACCTTAGGGGTACCCAAAATTCGGGGTTTATAGGGTTTATAGAGGGGCATATAGGGCTTATATTGGGTTTAGGATTTAGGGTGTAGAGTTTCCCTCTACTTTGGGAAACTACCATAATGTCCATGATGCGAGCGTCTGCTGAAATTTAGATTTAAGGCGCAGGTCTCGGGATTCACTGACTGGTTCTTCCTAGGGAATAAGGAAACATAATCCCTATATGCCCCCTATATAATGGATTGCCTTATGGCCTAGATCCAGCACTTGGAGCCATCTATTTCCTTATTCCCTACAAACAACCAGTATAAGTTACTCTTGAGCAAACGAAAAGAGCAGTTCCTGCCTTCCAAATCTTGCATGTCCTTGGCTGACATGCATCTGGGTTGCTGTTAAGGAACCACGTAAATTCAGTTACTACACTGATAAGGGTGTAGAGGGTTTAGGGGTTCAGGATTTAGGGCTCCGTACTATAACAGCGTTATTGTCGGCAGAATGGCTACTGTTCTTGGATGATGGTTATTCACCACAGATGTCTCCTTTGTCGTAGTTCTGTGGGTCTCTATGACACTATGAAGGGCTTTCTACAAAAAATCTGAGCTACAGAGGCATTTGCAGATGAGGTTCCAGGTGCGACTCTTCCCAAAAGAAGCAGCGGCAAACAAAATTGCAAATGAACAGCTCGGTCATCACGAAGTACTTCAAGACGATCTCCATCCTTGACATCTGCCGTCGCATTGCAAGATATACTGGAACTGGAAACAAGGAGAAACCGAAAAAATGTGCGGGGATGCGACGTGTATGTACGATGGACCGCATCCAGTGCATTCCAGGAGACGGATCCATTCCTGTGTCGTGCCGAACCTGCTGAAGCTCATGGCCTGCAGGGTGAAAACACATAGGTTTCCCTCTGAGCGGCGTGAGAAAACACAGGATTGCCAGATTAGTTTGTGCGAGTATCAGCCGCTTGCTGGCGCCATCACTTTCACGTCTGAGCGCCAGACCTTGAGACAACACCTTGAGCAACAGGAAGCACACCGGGTCAATGAGGGTGGTCCTGCACCCCACAGCTATGCTGTCACGCGCTCTATTCTAAGCCGATCTTGTGGAAGCGGCACCTTGCGACGTAACTGCTCGCGTAGCGCAAGACCCAGGCCACCACGAACGCCCCGAAGGAATGTCCGATGAAATGTGCTGTCTGCAGACCCCAGACCTGCGCCAATGTCACCAATCCAAATAAAACTGAGAATGGTTAACATTGGCTATGCTGTCAAGAATGCAAGTCCGTCACACGCCGCCGCATGGGATGCAAATCTCGGGTCTGCGCCTGAAGCATGTTCCCAATGTTCGTTGCCACCTGCAGGATGCTAAGTCAAAATCAATTCCACTGTTTTCTGGCCTTGGACCGCACGTATAACATGTTCGGAGGCCTCATGGGCACCAGGGACGTCGTCAGAAAATCTCATGGAGATACCGGCTGTGTCTACCAGAAATATTGGATGCTCCTGCAGTCGAAACAAACGACCCTATGAATTGCACGCAAGCAACACAATAGCTCGTTGTTGATTTCGGTTTCCACTACCAATATGTAAACTTACCCCAACATACTATAGTAGCTTCTATTTTCTTCTCCATTATCCTTGTATACCCCCTATATAACCCCAACATATACCCGACATTACGCTATAACCCCTATGTGGCATGCACTAATCTGTGTAGTGTGATAATTGGTTCTGTGGAAAAGGCGAAGTCCTTTCTACGTTTGAAGTTCAACTAATTGAGTCAGCAATCCAGCAGAACCTGCTAGTAGTGGCAGGAACAGAATACTGCATAAATTGATAATCAAAGAAGTGCTCTCAAAAATACGTCAAAAAAGGTTCTGGTATATGAATAATAAACACACTAGTGATACTTGCAGAAAAACCTTGCAGCAGCATTCTTACACGTGTACTTTAGGTTTCGGTATATGTAGATGGCCGTTGTGACATAGCCATGTTCTCGTGCACATGAAAGCTCGAAATATAAAAGAATATGTATGCTTTCGACACTCGTATCAGGTGGCTTGAGTCAAGCTGCAAGCATTTCCAAACACTAGACTACTTCTACGAAATTTCATTAAGCATGATTTTGACTAGAATTTTCACGAGGAAAAATACATGCGTGAATGACATGATCTACAATCTATCTACAAACACATCTTATCTTGCGGAATACGGAGTTCAAGTCTCTTGAAGCGCAGGTTGTTACGAATTGCTCTCCAAAACACAATAAAACTGTTTTGCAAAGTCCTGCTCACCTGCTGCCAGTGCACGGCACGGGCGCTCTCATGGAGCCCGTGCCATGAAGCAACTGCAAACGCCGCTTAGCGTGCGTTTTAAAACATAAACAGCCTTTTTGGCCCAGCAAGCGCTAATGCGAGTTCCTTTATACCAGGTGCTGTGCCATCTAGACAAAGCGACCTGGGCTGCGTCCGCAAAGTCATACTTCACGAACGCCTCACTATGGTCTTGCTGCCAAACCTGTGCCAGACGTGTTTACTATTGCATGCCAGTTTGCGTCGCTGATGCGCCTCCACGCTGTCTACGACGCCCATCGTGCTAAAGTCGTGGAGTAAACTTGCCCTGGAAATGTTGAGGCGAGTTCCACACCCAAATCTTTTGCCGAGTGTCGCCTCAAGCACGCATGCACGCAAAGCATTTTGCTAGCTTGAAAAGCTGAGGTAGTTGCCACGTGGATTGCGCTCGCGGGTGCCTGCCAACAGTCACAAAAGCAAAAACAGAAGACATCGCTTGAGCTTTTTCAGAAAGATGCCTTCGATCAATACCTCCGAGCTTGGACCTAACCTGCAGTAAAAGAGTCTGCTTCGACACTACTGACGGCTCCAGCCGGTAAACAAGCGACGAAGTATTGTGACAAGCCAACGGCCCGAGGGTGGTGCGTAGGAATGATTGATGGAGACAGGCTCTCCTTCCAAAGAAAAGTTTCAAGAACGACAGCAAGCAGCACGACACGGACACCAGAGCCAGGACTGGAGCACAGCCAGAGGAGCGACCGCCGCCAGCGCCGAACAACCAGCAGCGGGGAAAGCGGCAGCAAGGGAACCGACTGCGGCAACCACAGCGACAATCATGGATGGCGACCACAGGAGAAGCCACGGAAGCAAACGACAATAACAACGACAACAACAACGACGACGACGACGACAACAAAACCACAGCCACCGCCGCCGCCACCACCACCACTGCCACCAC